TTGAACTTTGGTAGCAGAGATCAGCTTTTGAATCCTCACTCAGCCCTGAACCTCACTGGGGGCCAACATTTACACCATATATGTAAAACTTCGATAAAAAGGTAAAGGACCCCTGACAGTTAAGTCCAGTCGCAGACGACTCTGGGGTTGTGGCGCTCATCTCGCTTTACAGGCCATGAGAACCGGCGTTTGCCCGCAGACAGTTTTTCCGGTTCATGTAGCCAGCATGATCAAGCCGCTTCTGGCGCAACAGAATACCAAAACCAGAGTAGCACACGGAAACACCGTTTACCTTCCCACCGGAGCGGTACCTGTTTATCTACTTGCACTTTGATGTGCTTTCGAATTGCTAGGTTGGCAGGAGCTGGGACCGAGCAACGGGAGCTCACCCCGTTGCGGGGATTTGAACCGCTGACCTTCTTATCGGCAAGCCCAAGGGGCTCAGTGGTTTAGACCACAGCGCCACTAGTAAATGCTCATGGCTTCCCTCAAAGAATACTAAGAGCTGTAGTTTGTTACGGGTGCTGAGAGATGTTGGGAGGTGCTCATTCCCCTCGCAGAACTACAGATCTCAGAATGGTTTAACAATCAGGGGAAACTGTGGCTCAGTGTGAGAAGAGTAGAGGTCTCTTTAACAGCTCTCAACACCCACAACAAGGAGCTCCCATAATTATTTGGGGGAAGCCATGATGGTTTAAAGTGGTATCGTGGTACTTTAAACATATGTTGTGAATGTGGCCTATTGAGACATTCTTCTCCCTCCCTCCCTCTTTCTGTCTCTTGGCCCCAGTCTACCTCTCTGAAAGGATAAAATGGGGGCAACCCACGCCTATGTATTCCTCCCCAAAGCTCAACGGCAATTATAAATACAAGTAGCCTGCGTGAGTTAGTTCTTTCTTTGTAAGCTTTTTGCCCCTTCCGTTTTACCAGGCCTAGTAAGGAAGGGGGGGGGTATGTCTATGTCAGATGCAGCCCAGCTGGCAAATAATCCTTGCCTGCAGCTTGTACTTTGCAAAGGGGGTGGGTGGGTGCTGCCTAATTCATTTTTAAGTGAACGGTGTCACTGAGGCTTTAAAGGCCAAGCTTTTGCCTTGAGTGAGGTAATGCAGCTGTAAAGGATGAAGCCAACACTCTTTGGCTGAGGGATCTCTCCTGTTTGTATTTCTAAGCTCCCCTCCTCCTCCCCACCCAGCCACCGCCGCCTTCCCCCTGCTTCTTAACAAGTTTTTATAGGGCTTTAAAATCTCTCCATTTTCGCAGACTCTGCCAATCCTTTGAGATGCTCTTTCTGAGCAGCAAGAGCATCTGTTTGCATATGAGTGCCTCAGAGTTTCTCACAGAATGAATCATGGCCTCGGATACCAGCAATACATCTGGCAAAGGCGGGAGGGAGGGCTTTTAAGAAGTGTTGTTGGGTTTTTTTAAGCAACAACCGAAGAGGGCTTTTTAACATTTTGATTCACTGTAAATAATTTCATTTCTAGCCTCAGGTGGCAGATATGGTTCTTTCACTCTCCATAGCATCCTCACAGCAACCCTGTGAGTAGGTTGGGCTGAGAGTCGGTCACTAGCCCAAGGTAGGGATGGGGGAATATTGAATTCAGTTCTCATTTAAAGGTGAATTTACCTAAATTGCACTTTGCGAAACGGTACACAAACCGAAACACAGCTGTCCTCTGTAATTCACACCACTCTGAATTTTGCAACGCAGTTCTCCCACCAAGTAATTTGTACAAAAATGCATATTCTAGAGTAAAGTGTGGATATAAATGTCTATATGAGTGAAAATAGCATGGAAACATACATTCTATTGAGGAAAACAGCTTTGTGAAAACATGCATAGGAGGAGAAGGGCGTACAAAAACTGTGCTTATCCGGAGAAATTTGCACTAAAATGCTTACAATTTTCCACGAGGATTTTTTAAAAATGTAAACCGATTTTGAAATGGGGAGAAGCAAACTTAAGACTGAAAAAAAATGGGGGGGGGAGACACCCGGATAAACCAAAATAGGCAGATTTTTCCTGTTCCTAGCTCCATGGCAAAATAGGGATTTGGACTCTGGTCTCCCAGGTCCTATGACGCCACATTAGCTCTTTCAAATAAGAGAGATTTATCATAAATATCAGGGAATATGGCTACCCAATGCTTCACAGAGCTTGCTTGTTAATGTACCTGCCACATGACACACCTGACGTACAAGGCAAAGCAGAATTGCCACATTGTGGTGCACTAACAACCCTAACAGATGCTGGTTCTTCCCCTAACAGCATTCTGAAGGCTGTTTTTGTTGCCAAATGGACAAAAAGGCACCTCTAATGGTCTCTAAGTTCATATGCAAATGACTGTAATTCCCCCCCCCCCCACTTCTAAATGAAGAGAGCACACATTTGTAGATCTAGTGAATTGGAAAGGTGTATTTACATTCATATTTCAGTATTCATGCCTTTCATGCCAGGTATGAATAGAACTGCTTTCCACCCAGTAATCTATTGGTCTAACTGGGAAACTAATGAATGGGAGTCAGAAATATTAATAAACTCTCTCCTTATAGCAGGCTCCCCTATAACGTGTTAGCACCACCCTTGGCTCTGTCCCTTGACCTATCAGATTCACCTAGGGTCACTGTCAGGTCTATGACCTGCTCCTGGTGAAGTTGGTGATAAAAGGCCTGGGTTTGAATTCCTGCTTGACCTGCGAAGTTTCACTATGTGATCTGGTCATGACTGGTCAGCTCAACAGGGTTGTTTTGAGGATAACTGGGGAGGCCCAAGTGAATGTTACCCAGAGCTCATTAGAGGAAGGCTTAGAATAGAAACATTTGCAACAATTAGTGGGTGGAAGGAACTTTCAATTTCAATTCTCTCCGTTGCTCGTTTTCCCAATATAAAATTTGCTTCAGATTTCTGCAGCAATTTGCATTTTTCAAAGCAATCCTCATGAAAATTCATTCAGTGTCACATGGAAGGAGGGAACAAGCTTGTTTTCTCCTTCTCTAGAGGGTAGGACTCGAACCACTGGTTTCAAGTTACAATAAAGGAGATTTCTGAGTAAAACTTTCTGACCGTAAGAGCTGTTATAACAGTGGAACAGTCTCCTCTGGGATGTTGTGGACTCTCCTTCCTTTTTAAGCAGAGGTTGGATGTCCATCTGCCATGGATGCTCTATCTGAGATTTCTGCGTTGCTACAATTCTATGAGTCTGTGTCCCTTGAGGTTGGGGAGACCAGCAGCAAAACTGGGCATCGGAATGGGGATGATGCTCCTTGTGGAGTGCCACCTGAGGCAGCCACCTCACCCAGCCTCATGGTTGAGCCGGTTCTGCTCTGTCTTCTGCCCTTAAGTGAGCATCTGCTGCCATGATCATTTTACTCAACAACTCTTTTCAAAGGAGAAGAAAGCCATACCTGCAGAACATTTCAAACATACTAGAAATGAGATCAGAATATCCTTTGAAACAATAGGTAAAGGTAAAGGGACCTCTGACCATTAGGTCCAGTCGTGACCGACTCTGGGGTTGTGGCGCTCATCTCGCTTTATTGGCCAAGGGAGCCGGCATACAGCTTCTGGGTCATGTGGCCAGCATGACTAAGCCGCTTCTGGCGAACCAGAGCAGCGCACAGAAACGCCGTTTACCTTCCCGCCAGAGCGGTACCTACTTATCTACTTGCACTTTGACGTGCTTTCAAACTGCTAGGTGGGCAGGAGCTGGGACTGAGCAACGGGAGCTCACCCCATCGCGGGGATTTGAACTGCTAACCTTCTGATCGGCAAGTCCTAGGCTCTGTGGTTTAACCCACAGCGCCACCCGCATCCCTTTTGAAACAATACGAGAGCATAATAACAAGCAGAGCAACATTAAATGCTACAAAACGCGAGCAAGCAATTATGAGAAACAGTTCTATAGGTGTGTTGTGAATGAGAGAGCTCCATGAAACGCAGGTTCAAGGAGATCTGGTTGGCAGAATCAGCTTCTGGAATCATATATACATGAATGGCTAAACCTTCTGTGAGTGAAAAAAAAGGGGGGCTATCGTATTTCTTCCCAGATCCTCTGCCAATTTTTATAAGCATCTGTAGGTTCACTCATCATTCATTCCCCCCTTAGGACAGCGGGAAACTTTTGAACTGGGGGCACCAAATGCATCCGGTTTCCTTCTGTCAAATGGGATCAGGAAAAGTGCAGAACACCCGCAAAGTCCCCCAACACACACACACCACACACACACACTTCTCCATGCCCCATCTCATGAACACGGTCCTTGTTCAAAGAAGTTGATCCAATGTGCGAATAAAATAAATACCTCTGATTCTGAGAACAGACATTTCTTTATAGCCACAGTACTCACACAACTGCTGTTACATTTAAAGGGTATGCCTGCTAGCTTGACACAAATAGGGTTTAAAAGGAGAAACATTGCAGATTCCGGTGGGAAGTGTTTTAGAGCGAGCGGAGTCAGATGTGAGGAAACAAAGAGAATCTTTAAGCCTTACAATGTGAAAAAGTGCATAGTTGAAATTTGCAGTTAAAAATTGAAATCTGCCAAAGGCATCGTCCCCTTATGTGAATGGGGTAACCTTTTTCAAGTTTTGTAAGTGTTGCTAAGCTTTGAAGAAGAAGAAGAGTTTGGATTTGATATCCCGCTTTATCACTACCCGAAGGAGTCTCAAGGCCGCTAACATTCTCCTTTCCCTTCCTCCCCCACAACAAACACTCTGTGAGGTGAGTGGGGCTGAGAGACTTCAAAGAAGTGTGACTGGCCCAAGGTCACCCAGCAGCTGCATGTGGAGGAGCGGAGACGCGAACCCCGTTCCCCAGATTACGAGACTACTGCTCTTAACCACTACACCACACTGGCTTTGCCAACGTGGGTCCCACAACCTGTGATTCGCTTGATAGGATTTGTTTCGAAACGCACCATTTGTGAAACACAAAGTTTTCGGCAGTGCTGACTCCGGTTCCTTTATTAATTCCACATTTACTTATTTTTCTCGTGGACAGGTTTGCGACTCTGATACAATGCTTGATCCAGCTTCATCAGTGGAAATGGTCAAGGTTTTAGAAGAAGATCCAATGGTTGGAGGCGTTGGGGGAGATGTGCAGGTGAATATAGCAATTTTCAAACTCTGCATCAAAGACTGTAAATTTAGGGCCACCTCTATGTGCTCCCTTGCAACTTTGCAAGTGAAGATTGATAGTCATGCAGGAAGTAACATGCATATTTTATGTGCACTGTGAACATTTCTCCTATAGTGGATGCATAGATTCAGAAGCCACTGGATATCTAGGCTGGATTTGGGAATATTGATCCATGAACTTTCCACCGAAGACATTCCTGTGTTATGCCACAGTTCATGCATTTACAATATGTTTGCTATTTCATTCCGAGTAGGAAATGGTAATTCAGGCAACCACGATTTGCACGAGGGTTGTGTTCTGGGTCATTGTGCATGACATAAGCCCACTTACACCCCCTTTTCTGCCTCCTTTCCCAGCCACTTCCATACACTGTCACATGTCCTTATTGGTCATTGTCTGCACATGAGCCATGTACCCTCCAACATTTCTCCAATGAAAATAGGGACGTCCTATTCCATAATAATGGGACACGGGTGGCGCTGTGGGTAAAACCTCAGTGCCTAGGACTTGCCAATCGTATGGTCGTGGTTCGAATCCCCACAGCGGCGTGAGCTCCCATCGTTTGGTCCCAGCTCCTGCCCACCTAGCAGTTCGAAAGCACGTCAAAGTGCAAGTAGATAAATAGGGACCGCTTACAAGCGGGAAGGTAAACGGCGTTTCCGTGTGCTGCGCTGGCTCACCAGATGCAGCTTCGTCACGCTGGCCACGTGACCCGGAAGTGTCATTGGACGGCGCCGGCTCACGGCCTCTAGAGTGAGATGAGCACACAACCCCCGAGTCGGACACTACTGGCCCGTACGGGCAGGGGTACCTTTACCGTTATTCCATAATAATATTTATTATTACTGGTTTAGCATTTATACCCCACCCATCTGAATGGGTTGCCCCAGTCACTCCGGGTGGCTTCCAACATATCTAAAAACATGATAAAACATTAAACATTAAAAAGCACACATCCCTATCCTTCCCCGCCTTCAGACGGTTTGGGGGTTGGATAACTGAGCTTTTCTGCTAATCTGAAAAGCCTATGTGGGGCCTGTATAGATAAAATGGACCCCAATGTAAAGGATCTGGGGCACAAAAGACCGACTGAGACAAGATAATAGAGTGTGCCGATTACAGTGCTGCCAGGCCTAATTCTTACACAATATAGTCCACATGAAGCTTTGACTCTTGGAATCAGTCATTGCATTTCAGGAGACTTATTTGCTCATAGGGCAAGGTTCAGATTCTAATTATATAGGGGTAAAATAACATGATTAGGAAAGAGCATAAGACAGAGATGGGTGATCGGGATGGAGTGAGCTGCTGATCTGGCTGTGCTTAGTGTCAGTGAGCAGGGACATAATAATAATAATTTATTATTTATACCCCGCCAATCTGGCTGGGTCTCCTCAGCCACCTTGGGCGGCTTCCAACAAAGTATTAAAATACAGTGGTCTGTTAAACATTAAAAGTTTCCCTAAACAGTGTCTCTAAAAGTCTGGTAGTTGTTCTTCTCTTTGACATCTGGTGGGAGGGCGTTCCACAGGGCGGGTGCCACTACCGAGAAGGCCCTCTGCCTGGTTCCCTGTAACTTGGCTTCTCACAGTGAGGGAACCACCAGAAGGCCCTCAGCACTGGACCTCAGTGTCCGGGCAGAACGATGGGGGTGAAGAAGTAGGAAGTGGGGTGCAGGGGGTGCGGTGTAATCCCTGAGGGGGTGACAAAATGGCACACCGCGGGGGGCGGCACTTACTACGAGGCCTGGCCTGCAGTATGCCTGAGCCACGTGTCTCTCCTGGGTGTGACACGGTGGCTCGGGGCCCCGCGCTGCCTGACGGCTCGGCCCCTCCCCTTGTGCAGATCACAGTGAAGTTGTGCAGTCAAAGTGGATTTTCAGGTAGCCAAAAAGAAAATAGACAAGACCTTGGAAAAAGCCGGAGTCTAGAAATATACAGAAACCAGAGTACTTTGATCTGGGGAACTTCATTGGCTTTGCAGACTCTGACCTTGGAAGCAATATGTATGTCTGTGTTCTTTCTGCCATTTGGGGTCTCTTGCAAATGTTCCATTCTGTGTCCAGTGAAGTATTTGTTCAAAAATGGGGTCTAGATGAGAGGGGAGGATGCTGGAAGTAGGAGAAACCCCAAGATAAGGCACTGAGCAATTTCAGGTCTTCTCCTATCACACAAGGCGGAGCCACACTATCCACTTGAAGCACACCCAACACTCATTGAAAGCGCACTGGTTCCCCTAAGGAATCTTGGGAGCTGTAGTCTGTTAAGGATGCTGGGAATTTATAGCTCTGTGAGGGGGAAACTGCAGTTCCCAGGATTGTACTTTAAATGCATGGTGCTGATCTGCACACAGTTTGAAAACCACTGCCACTGCCACAAAATATCAGTAACAGTGGTATTGTGTGAGAGAGAGCCAACATGAAGTGCATGATTCTTACATTACAGGATTCTATAATTCTATGAAAACATGGGTGGGAGGGAGTAGCAGAATATTAAAAATAATGTAAGAATAAAAGAAAATTATTATAAATCAATTTGGAGATGGTATTTAACACCAGTCAGATTAAACCAAATAAACAAGGAATATCCGGTGTTATGTTGGAGGGGATGCCAGGAAACAGGGAATTATGTTCACATGTGGTGGAAGTATAAATATGTAAAAAAATAAAATAAAATTGGCAGGTTATGAAGAACTTGCTCACAAATTTATTGACAGCTGCACACATTATTATAGCTAGGAAGTAGAAGGGGCAAGCAGAATATAAAATGGAAGAATGGCATAAAGAGGTGTGGGATATAGCCATTAATGATAAATTAACATGTGCCATTAAGGTAAGACAGGGAATATGCAGGAAAAATTACTTTGAGAAGATATGGAGGGTGTTTGTAGAATTTGTACTGTTAAAACGGAAAGGGGTCAAACCATCGCAAGAGGTGTTGAAACTTTGGGAGGTTGGATAGTTACAATGGAATGAATGGTCTCACTGGTGGGGAGCACATTTTTATTCTTATTTCTTTATGATTATTACTACAGTGGTACCTCGGAGTACATACGCTTCAGGTTACATACGCTTCAGGTTACAGACTCCGCTAACCCAGAAATAGAGCTTCAGGTTAAGAACTTTGCTTCAGTATGAGAACAGAAATCGTGCTCCAGCGGTGCGGTGGCAGCGGGAGGCCCCATTAGCTAAAGTGGTGCTTCAGGTTAAGAACAGTTTCAGGTTAAGTACAGACCTCTGGAACGAATTAAGTACTTACCCGAGGTACCACTGTATGTCAAAAAAAAGAAATTAAAAATGTGAATGGCAGTATTTTATGACATATACTTTATGTGTTTTGGTTTTTAAAAAACACAGTTGCATATTCTTTTTCTTCTTCTAAAATGTCCTTTTCATTGTTGCTGCTTGCAGATTTTGAACAAGTACGACTCGTGGATCTCCTTTCTCAGCAGCGTTCGATACTGGATGGCGTTTAACATCGAGAGGGCCTGCCAGTCCTACTTTGGCTGTGTGCAGTGTATCAGTGGGCCCTTGGGGATGTACAGGAACGCCTTACTCCACGAATTCGTGGAAGACTGGTACAATCAAGAATTCATGGGATCTCAGTGCAGCTTTGGAGACGACCGCCATCTCACCAACCGAGTCCTGAGCCTTGGCTATGCAACGAAATACACGGCTCGGTCCAAGTGCCTTACCGAAACGCCCATCGAATATCTCAGGTGGTTGAACCAACAGACCCGCTGGAGCAAGTCCTACTTCCGAGAGTGGCTATACAATGCAATGTGGTTCCACAAGCATCACTTGTGGATGACCTACGAGGCTGTCATCACTGGCTTCTTCCCGTTCTTCCTCATTGCCACTGTCATCCAGCTTTTCTACCGGGGGAAGCTGTGGAACATCCTCCTTTTCTTGTTGACAGTCCAGCTGGTGGGCCTTATCAAGTCTTCCTTTGCCAGCTGCCTTAGAGGGAACATTGTCATGGTTTTCATGTCCCTCTACTCAGTGTTGTACATGTCCAGTTTACTGCCGGCAAAGATGTTTGCCATAGCCACCATAAACAAAGCAGGCTGGGGCACGTCGGGCCGGAAAACCATCGTGGTCAACTTCATAGGACTCATCCCGGTCTCCATTTGGTTTACAATCCTCTTGGGTGGCGTCATTTTCACGATATACAAGGAATCCAAAAAGCCATTCACTGAATCGAAACAGACCGTGCTAATCATTGGTACGATACTTTACGCCTGCTATTGGGTGATGCTCTTGACTTTGTACTTGGTCCTCATCACCAAATGCGGAAGGAGGAAGAAGGAACAACAGTACGACATGGTGCTTGATGTATGATTCAACCACTGTGCCTCCCTTAACCCCATTGTTTTTATTTTCTTCTTTTGCTGCCCATGGAATCTTTCTTGTCACACGACGAACATTCTAGCATTTGTGGTACTTGAGATCATCAAGGGAAAAGGATCACTGCTGCTGGGACTTGAACATGAACGAATTCATGACCATGCCAAAGCAATAATAATAATAATAATAATAATTAAATGGGATTGTGCCTTTTTGTCGGGAAAGGGTGGGGGTGGGGGAGAAGAAAATCACACGGATTCAACCCATTCCTGTGGGTCGTCTCCCAACTATGCACTTTCTTCTGTTGTGCGTACGCCCAAAAGTGTTAACGTCCTATATACCTCATTGGCCACGCTCCTGTGGGCGGACATGGAAGAAAGGGAGATTTGGAGACACAAGCAAAGGATCCGGTAACCCATTTTAGGATCTGCAACCTAATTTATGAACCTTCTTGTTGTTCTGTGACTTTTTTTTCTAGGAAGGGGTGCGAGTGAGCATGTGGTTTGTGTGTGTGTGTGTGTGTGTGTGTGTGTGTGTGTGTTAGGCTGCAAACTGTAATTCCAAAGTCAAGTTTTTATAAGGGTTTTGATGACCAAGGCTTTGTATTTTTTATATAATTGTAATTATTTGTCTCTGTTTACTTTTTACACCAGTCATTTTTTTAAAAAAAAACACAAATAAATAAAAACCTCGTATTTTATATTTCTGCCAAAAAGTACACTATTTTCACCCCTCCCCGCCACTCTTACAGTCTGTCTCGCTTTCACCCCTCTAAGTAGGCTTTGAAAAACTCCTCCTTAAAAAAGAAAAGAAAAAGACTTGCCCACAATGTGAAAATGGTTTGCTGATTTGAGTTTTCCCCCTTCCCACTATTGAAAGAAGAATTTTTTAAAAAGTCTCTGTATTTTTAAACTGATGAATGTTTATTTCTGTGAAAGTATTTAAATGTGTGCTTTTGACTTTATTTGAGGGGTGGAAGGGAAAATTAACAACATTGTCAATTTTTGGAGGCAAAATCTTTGTGCGCGCAAGGAATAGCACAATCCCCAGGAGAATCTCCTGCTTGGATCCCCATTGAAATCCATGGGAGCTGCGTTAAGTGATCACAAACAGCTTCAGTGGCACCATTTGGGCAGATGTCCAGTGCCCCACATAGTAGAATGATTAGAGTGAGAGGACAAAAACACCAGGTCTGACTTAACCAAATATTGATGTCGCAACGAGACCGTTAAATCCAGAGCCCAAAATTCCACCTCCGGTTCTGCACAGCTCCCACCAATTTCAGTGCGAATTGCGGAGGAGAACTTTCTGTGGGATTGGGCCCACAAAGGCCAATGGGATAGATACGTGCAATCTTTTTCTCCTCCCCATGAAAGTTTTGTAAGAGGAAACTTATAACCCTCTGCCAGATGATACACAGGCATTAAAAGCAGTCTTCCATCCCAGCAACTGGGTGCCTAATGCTATATATATGAAAACATAGTGTTGCCGGAGTGAAACTCTTGGTTTCCAGTTTAGAAAATATGTAAAGATGGGTGAAATCATAGTTGCATATCTTGGTTTGTTCAAATTGAGTTATGCCAACCCAGTGAGAAAATCCTTTCCAGTCTAGGATGGAAGCTGTTGGCAGTCAGTCCATTAGCTTCCAGAGAAAACTATTGGGATAGGTCCTGTCTAAAGTAAAGCTTTAGTCCCATTGAAATCAATGGGATTTATGTGAACCATGACTTAACTTGTCCAAATTGATTTCAATGAGCTAAAGCATGAGTAACATATAGCAGAATCCCATACATATCAACTCAGAATTACCATATTTTTCTGGGTACAGTGGTGCCTCGCAAGACGAAATTAATCTGTTCTGCGAGTCTCTTCGTCTTGCGGTTTTTTCGTCTTGCGAAGCACGGCTCTTAGCGGCTTAGCGGCTTAGCTTAGCGGCTTTAAGAAAAAGGAAACAAACTTGCAAGAACTCGCAAGATGTTTCGTCTTGCGAAGCAAGCCCATAGGGAAATTCGTCTTGCGGAACGACTCAAAAAACGGAAAACCCTTTCATCTAGCGAGTTTTTCGTCTTGTGAGGCATTCGTCTTGCGGGGCACCACTGTATAAGACTAGCTTTCCCCCCAAAAAAATAATATAAAAAATTAGGGGGGTGTCTTATACACTGATAGTACCGAGGGTGGACTTTTCTTAAATCTGAGTCCCCCAAAATAGGGGGCATCTTATACATGGGGGCGTCTTATAGATGGAAAAATAAGGTAAGTCCCACTGAGTTCAGTGGGGTTTATTCCCAGGTGAATGTGTATTAGATTACACCTTTAGTCTGGATCCAACCTAATGGAAGAATAACATGAATCTCTAGACCTCTGTGATGTAGGAATTCCTTCCATCCCCAATGATGTACCCATCAAATTTTTTTTATTATTATTATAAGAATGCCTAAAAATACATTTTTTGAAAAAGAGGAAAATATGGGCCCCAATTCCTGCATAGGCAAATTAATGTAATATTAATCCCTAAGAATATTTTTTTAAAAAGCGGAAGAGTATCAACAACATACTGTTCTATATTTTATTCTCACTCTCTTTGACATGGACCATCACTCTGGTAGAATGGAAGCTCATCTGGTTGTTTTGGGGGATATATGGTTGTCTTCCTTAAAATGCAGATATGACTCTGATTTTTCTGCTGTGGAATGTGTAACACCTATACTACCTTGTCTGACGATACAGAGATCGCGTTGCTCGCAAAATTTGCCTTCATTTGCTTGCAACTGGGGGAGAAAATCGATCCTTTTTGGTGACCAAATGGATCAGTATTAAATTTTCTTTTTTTAAAAAAAAAAAAACAACCATGCAAATGACACAAATGGGGAAAAAAAGAAAAGAAACTTGACTTTTGCCTTTTAACTATTTATATTGTATAAGTTAAAGCTTTGGGGTAACAACGTTCAAGTGTCAAATAAAAATCCTCTCATTCTTTAAAGGATTGAAATAATTGCCTGTATTTATTCTAGCAATTATTCAATGCATTTCAAGTATAGGTTGTTTAGTACAATTGTTACTTTAATAAATAAAATATTTTTGATACGATTGTGAGCGGTTTGTGTTCTTTCCTGAGCTTCGTACATGTATTTTTAAAAGGAGCCCAAATCTATCATGTAGGACCTGCATAGCAGCTGGTTTTATATATGCAACCAACACAAATGTGATGGCATTTGTATCACAATGCTCACCTGGTCCTATTGTTGGCTAGATGCACCTTTCTCTAGGTGGAATGTGGGTGGTGCTGTGGTCTAAACCACTGAGCCTCTTGGCAGGGGTCAGCAACCTAAGGCGCAGGGACCACAAGCGGCCCATGGGGGTCGTTTTACTGGCCCATGAGCCACCACCGAACAGAGCCATCCACTTGGCAAGTCCCCGGCAAAGCACGGCGCAGGGGACTCGCTTTCGCAGTGCTGGAAATTGCGTCTTTGCAGATGCAGACACCAGAAATTGGTCACACATGCGCTAACGCGCGCCTGTGATCTGGTCCATGGAGGGGGCTCCGCGGCAGTAACTGTAACCTCACTTCTCGCAATGAGGGAACCACCAGAAGGCCCTCAGTGCTGGATCTCCGCTGAATGATGGGGGTGGAGACGCTCCTTCAGGTATACAGGACCAAGGCCATTTAGGGCTTTAAAGGTCCGCACCAACACTTTGAATTATGCTCGGAAACATACTGGGAGCCAATGCAGATCTCTCAAGCCGGTCCCGGCCGCCACTCCCAGTCACCAGTCTAGCTGCCGCATTCTGGATTAGTTGTAGTTTCCAGGTCACCATCTGCAAGATGTTTAGGGTGTGACAAGATGTGTTGAAAACTGAGTTGCCTCAAGATACAAAGTCAGGCCACGGGTCCATTCAGCTCTACTGTCTACACTGATCGGCAGTGGGTTTCCAATGTTTCAGACAGGGGACATTTTTTCAGCCCTACCTGGAGAAACTCTGGTTTGGCCCAATTATCTTCTGCATGGAAAGCAATGAATTAATAATAATAATAATAATAATAATAATAATAATAATAAATTTATTTATACCCCACCCATCTGGCTGGGTTTCCCCAACCACTCTGGTGGCTCCCAACAGAATATTATAAACATGATAAAACATCAAACATTTTAAAACTTCCCTAAACCGGGCTGCCTTCAGATGTCCATTTCATAGCTTGAGCCTTAAGGGAGCCTTGGCTTGTCAGATGGTATTCTGAAGACCCAACCTTAAATGTAATAAAGCAGGGTGTTGGGGGCACCCTTCAGGGTGGCGTGCCTTAAGCAGGTGTCAAAACAAACTATACATGGCCCTGTTTTTGAGCTGGGAGGACCACAGATGTAAGACTGGGGGAGAGCAGTTCTTTCAGACCTGACTACAGAGTGCCTTCATTTAGCTGCAGATCAGGACGTCGCAAAGGCGGTCCCTGAAAAAAAGAGAAGGTCTCTTTTAGCAAGCGTTTTTAATAGGAGGGCAAAGAAGCCCATCATTCATTGGCTGCCAAAACTGTTCCAGTGTGCGATCGCTTATGAGCCTGTGTGTGTGTTTGTTTCTGATCACTGCCCTTTTCAACAGCAGGAAGAAACTTCGGCAAGAGCATGCAAATCGGGATTATGTAAAAGGATCCTTAAAAAGAGAGAAGGGACTTTCTATTTTAAGGCTGGTCTACCCTGCCCCCCCCAACCTAAATATGAAATAGGCATATTTTGGTAGCCAAAATTCTTCCAGGGTACATCTAATTAGAGGGTTAAAAAAAACAAAAACGCTGTTAATTGTGGGGAATTTAGACATGGCATCTGATTAAAGTTGCTATGTTCTGATTATAGCTTAAGAAATACACTTAGCTTGAAAACCTTTGTTGAAGGGGATTATTATTATTATTATTTGTTTTCCATTTCTCTGGGGCATTTTTTTTTAAAGTTCTGTGTACTCCAAGCCTAAAATGGAACTCTCTTCAAAGATATTTAGTTACCGTATTTTTTGCTCTATAAGACTCACTTTTCCCCTCCTAAAAAGTAAGGGGAAATGTGTGTGCGTCTTATGGAGCGAATGCAGGCTGCGCAGCTATCCCAGAAGCCAGGACAGCAAGAGGGATCGCTGCTTTCACTGCGCATCAATCCCTCTTGCTGTTCTGACTTCTGAGATTCAGAATATATTTTTTTCTTGTTTTCCTCCTCCAAAAACTAGGTGCGTCTTGTGGTCTGGTGCATCTTATAGAGCGAAAAATACGCGATTTTAGCAAAGGATATCAGGCAGCTGTACATGATGTGAATTTTGCATGTGTGAAGCTGCCTTATAACTAGCCAGTTCTTTGCTTCATCTAGCTCAGTACAGTGGTACCTCGGGTTACATACGCTTCAGGTTACAGACGCTTCAGGTTACAGACTCCGCTAACCCAGAAATAGTACCTCGGGTTAAGAACTTTGCTTCAGGATGAGAACAGAAGTTGTGCTCCGGCGGCACGGCAGCAGCAGGAGGCCCCATTAGCTAAAGTGGTACTTCAGGTTAAGAACAGTTTCAGGTTAAGAACGGACCTCCGGAACAAATTAAGTACGTAACCAGAGGTACCCCTGTATTAGCACCCATGAGGGTCTGTAGGAAAGGAGGCAGTCTTCTGGTGGAACACTCTGTCACAAGAGACCAGGGCCCTGCGGGACTTGACATCTTCCCGCAAGGGCTGCAAGACAGAGCTGTTCCACCAGGCCTTTGGCCAGGGCACAGCCCGACTCCCTCCCTCGGCAATCCTCGCGGAGCTCTGGCCCAAGGGTTGCCAGTGGCTTGAATTAATTAATTTTACAATGAATGGTTTTAGAGTGTTGTTTATGCTGTACTTTTGTACTGTTTTATTGTTGTTAGCCACCCTGAGCCCGGCTTCGGCTGGGGAGGGCGGGATATAAATAAAATTTATTATTATTATTATTATTATTATTATTATTATTATTATTATTCAGATATTGGTGGCCCGAGTCATAAACACCAGCGTGATCACCTTGAATTTTGCGGTTATATAAGATTCAAATGGAACCTGCATTTTTGGACCCTTTGCTTCATCTAGCTCAATATTGGATACACAGAGCGGCAGCAGATCTTCAGACAGGGTTCTCTCCCAGTCTTACCTGGAGAAGCCGGGAATTGACTTTGGAACTTCCTGCATGCAAAACAGGTCCTCTAAAGCTGAGCTTTGGCCCTTACACACAGAGGAACCATTTCCCTAACAATATCGTTAACTCAAAATCACAGCGATGAAGATGAATTATAAGCAGTAAGTTTGGAGTAAAGGTCCACGGCAGCAACAATCTTCTTCTTCCATTGAGGATCC